GCTTTCTAGTTCGAGTCAGGACCCGAGTTGCAGCGTTCTGGACGTTCTGCAGCGTCTCACAGCTCATTTGGAAAGGCCAGTGAGCAGGACGTATTTATTTTAAATTTTTTATTTTTCCATCCATTCATTTTCTCCTGCTTATCCAAGGCTGGGTCACGGGGGCAACAGTTTAAGCAGGGACTCCCAGACTTCCCTCACCCCAGACACTTCCTCCAGCTCCTCAGGGTGGACCCCGAGGCGTTCCCAGGCCAGCCCAGAGACATAGTCCCTCCAGCGTGTCCTGGGTCTTCCTCAGGGCCTACTCCCGGTGGAACATGCCCAGAACACCTCTCCAGGAAAGCGTCCAGGAGGCATCCGGAACAGATGCCTGAGCCAGCAGCGGCTCTACTCTGAGCTCCTCCCGTGTGACTGAGCTCCTCACCCTATATCTAAGGGAGCACCCAGCCACCCTGTGGAGGAAACTCATTTCGCGCACTTGTATTCACGATCTCATCTTTTCGGTCATTACCCAAAACTCATGACCATAGATGAGTAGGGTTTATTATTCATAATAATATTATAATAATTAATAATATTATTATTATTATTATTATTATTATTATTATTATTATTATTTATTTATTTATTTTTTATGTATTTATATTGGGTAAGTAAATATTTACATTCTTATAAAATGGAACATATAGCATAAGTGAAATCATAACAGAAATAAAAAATTACCACAACAAAAAAAATGTGCCCAAAAAGGAGTGGGAAGAAGAAACGTATTTAATTCCACCTCCACTCTTTTAATCTAACACAATGAGCTTATAATAAAAATATATAAACTACTTACAAGTGCGGACAGTGAATATCTGCAGTGAATATACCTGCATTATTAGTCTGTTTACTTTTCCAAATCTCAAAATGTTCCGTTCCACCTTGTGATGTCATGAAATGGTATTTTTAGAGATTTAGAGATTAGCAATTCCAGAGGAGAAATTATCTAAGTGATTCTAGTGAAGGAATTCAGAAACACAATGGTGCACTTCCTGTGTTACCACATGAAATCATAATATCATAACTCACAAGGGCCAATTTTTGGAATTTCAAGTTAAAGATTTTAATCTAACTAAACATGAAAGAGGGGGAGTGATCTAGATATTTCCTGTAAGTGTGACTAACTCAAATACTGGGTCAACTCTCTAACTGATTTCCTGCTCACTGTGCCAGAGATATCACAGTGGCATCAGTGTTAAGGTCACATCTGTCACATCTGCCCTTTGTTATGTTCCCTGTGCAGAGTTCACTGTGTGTTTGATGGAGATGTGCACACCAAATGATGAGCTCCATTTTGAGTTGGACGAGTAATACTTTATCCACTTTGACCAGTTTTAATCACACTTTTTAACAGTGGAGGTTTCTTAGGTAATGTCTGGGTTAAATGTTCCACAGAAATGCATTCAGCTGAAGTTGAACTTGTAGAGCTGAAGGCCCTGCTGAGGTGTGATACAGTATCGATATCGGGGACTGCTGTACTGATATATCACCAAAGAATATTTTTTGGTATGTTTTACAAAAAAAAATTCTTACAGCGCAGTAGTTTTGTTGTTTGGTTAGAGGAAAGAAACTCGTTTAAGTGACACATTTGACTTTTTCATTGTTTTGATGATTAAAATGTTTGTGTTTCATCTGAACTTTGCACAAGAAGTGGTTTAACAAAGACTTTTAGTGTCACAGCCATGATTTAGACATTATTTTTTACTGAGCCGTATCGAATTGATTTGAAATACATAGTATCGAATTGTAAGCTCACTGTATTGAGATATGTATCATATCGTGGTCTATTTATCGAGGTATGTATCGTATCAACAACTTCTTAATGATATCCAGCCCTACTGCTGACAGAGGCTGCATCAGACAGACCGTCACCATACACCTGAGTCAGCACCGTCTGTCCAGCTTCCCCTCCTGCCATTTTCACTAACACACTAGTTAACTAGAAGGCCTAGTAGTTAGATCTTATTAATTAGATCTTAGATAGATTAACTGAGTATGCTTGATGCACTTGGGTGCAGACCTAAGTGCATCGAGCATACTCAGTCTTTCTGACTTGTCTATAGCTCTGCTCCTTTCTTCACCCGAGTGAAGACACGCAGCTGAAGGTCACATGAGACAATTACAAAAGCCATGTCCAATTCGTCTGCATGTCACCTTCATGCATCATGGGCGTCTGGCCTCTCTGTCCTGGAGCCCTGACGTTGCTCTTGTGGGTGTTGAAGCCCCCCAGTCGAACATCAGAGTGCTCGGTGGGTGTCTAGTACCCCTTTAGACTCAAAGAAGGCCGGTACACTGTTTGCAACAATGGGGCAACACAACAGTGAGAGATCTTTCCCCCTGACCTGAAGGGTTCTTCCTTCACTTCCTCAGGCTGTACCCCCACACACTCACTGTTGAGCACCCAACTCTGGCCTGGCTCCAGGTTGGGGCTCAGTAACACCAGTTCAGGCGACACAACTGGCCTTGTTTTTAAACTCGTCATGAAGGGTTCTGACCCGTCACCTGGGACCCACCCTGATTCTCAAGGGCATGAAGCCCCCGACAGCATGGCTCCTAGAGTCATGTGGTGCTCAAACCCCTTCACCGTGTTAATGTGATGGTTCAAGGGACACTCATGGCTTTTCCTTTTGCTTATCTCTGTGATATTTTTCCACCCAAGTACAGGTCCCTTGGGTGTCATGTCCCTTGGGTGCAGGTCCCAGGATGTCTGACCCTGTGGAATCTCTCTGTAATTGTGTTCAGTGGGTTGTGATCTTCCACACTGCAGTCAGCAGATGATCTTCCTCCCTCCAGGCAAACTGCAGCTCTGTCAGTTAAACCCGAGTGAAAGAGTTCTAACGTTTAATGACCTGAAGTCTTTAGTCTGGAGGGAAATAGCTGATGTGGTCTTGAGTGAGAATGCTGCTTTGAGAGTTCCATAGGCTTGAGTTTCTCTGGCTTCTAATAATGCTTTTGTAAACAGGTGTCATGTGTGGTAAACAGGTTTTTGAATGTGTTTGTTTGGAGGATAAGCCCGATGGAGTCCTCACAGTCACAACAACAGGAGACAGATACAGTAGGACAGACAGGAGATTACATACATTCAAATAAACATAGAAAAAACAAAACAAAGTCAACACACACACACATTCATACATGACGGTTAGACACTGAAAGTCAAATCTGAACAAAAAAACAGAGACAGAGTTCAAATATAATCACAAAATACAACAAGATGATCAAAAACAATCAAAATCAACGAAGGGACAGAAGTTAACTTGCGAATCGCTGAGGGAAGATTGTTCTCCTAATTGTTTTTTGACTCTTGGGACAACAAAAAATATCTGATCTGTGTGATGTAAAGTGTAAGAGAATATGAATGGAATTAAATACTGTTTGAGATATTCAGGATGACTGAGACTATTGCATTTAAAGATAAATAATAATCAGTGAAGTCGACGTGAGGAGGACAGAGTGAGCTGGACAGTTGGTGCATCACACAGTGGAGAATAAACCTGCACACACTGTTCTGGATAATATTGAGTTGATTGGAGGATAGAAGTTGTGGTATTTTATATATTATCTGTAAAAGATATCACATTAATCTAAAATGGGAAGATTTAGTTGTGTGATCATCTTTGTGCTGACAGAAAATCTAAAACAACTGATGGACTGGTAAAGTCATTTTAAGCATTATGAAGTTTGTAGTTTGTAATTGTTTTTGTTTTTTTTATGTGGGAGTGCATCTGTGTTTTGAAGCGTTCCGAGAACAGTTACAGGAATGACACAGGGAAAATGATTCTACTTCCTTCTCTCAAATGACACACTGTCTATTTCATGTACTAGCAGCAGTGGCAGAGTTACCAGTTTGGGGATCCTGGGCAAACTTGAGTTTGGGGCCCTCACTATAACGCACAGTTTTTTGTTTTAGTTTTTTCTTTAATATATTTATTGTCTATTTTTTCCCATTGCTCTTGAGACATGAACATCTCTATTTATTTGAATTATGGTGGATTAGAAACTTGTTTTATCAGTTCAGTCGCCTACTAGATAACGAGAACTGAAAGCAGTTTTATTTTTTTGCTAGTACAATTACATTTTTGTTTACATCCTTAACATATGATTATATTATTGTTTAAAAGTAAAATATTCTCATTTAATGTCATATTGAGAGTAAATCAAATTGCTCTGAGGCCTCGACCATTGTTTGGGTGATTGTTTGGGGGCCCCTCCAGGTTTGGGGGCTCTAGGCAGCCATCTACATTTGTCTAATGGTAGCACCACCTCTGTCTAGCAGTAAGATTTTTGCTTGTTTATATAATGATTCCTTATTTATTCTTATCAGTATTAAATTTGCATAAAGCTGTGTACTGTCTGCACTGAATTATAAACGTCTATATTGCTCCCAAGAATCGGGGAGTGCACAGTAGCATGCTAGTTGTTGTTATCTTTATACCATATTTCTGTTTTTCATATTTTCAAGATTGTAAAATCAGATAGAGCACCTTTTATTGACATTAAATACTAACAACTATTGCTAAATACTTTTTTCTAATTTTGTGTTGTGTACATTGACGTAGGACTGCCCAGCCCACATGCTTTACTGCTCTGACTGCACCGGTGTGCTTTATTTGGTTCCATGTGCTAAAAGGTGCAGAGTGGGCGGAGCCAGGCCAATCCCAGGGCTAATGAGAGGCCTGCCATCGTCACAGCAACAAGCGTCCTGTGACATCAGCATTCCTCTTTAAAGGACGAGCAGGTTGAAGCCGGTTCATCACAAACACACAAACACACAGAGTAAAACAGACGCTGCCCAAGCTCACCGGGACTCACCTGGACTCACCGGGACTCACCTGGACTCACTGAGACTCGCCTGGACTCACCTGGACACACTGAGACTCGCCTGGACTCATCTAGACTCATCTAGACTCACCTGGACTCACCGGGACTCACCTGGACTCACCGGGACTCACCTGGACTCACCTGGACACACTGAGACTCACCAGGACTCATCTAGACTCACCTGGACTCATCTAGACTCATCTAGACTCACCTGGACCCCCTGATCACAAGTAAGTAATGGGACAGACTGGGCTACACTGCATAAAGTGTTTGAATAGAAAAGTTTGAATAGAGTAGTGTTGACTTGTCTTGTAAAATGCAAATATGAATGCAAATAATGCCAATGGAAGTCTTAAAAAAATAAATAAATGTTACTATAAATCCAGATTAGCATTTGACAAGCCAAGACACTCAAATCAATATTTAAATGTTTTTATTTGAAGTAATTTTAGTTCTCCTAAATAGAACTTTTTGCACAGGATTGGCATAAGAAGTAGTTTTTGAACATAGTACATAGACGTAGTATTGAAACCCTAGTATGAAAGTGTGTGTGTGTGTGTGAGTGATGGTGGTGGTTGGAGGGGCTGATGGGTCAGATTGGCAGCCTCTCTTCTGTTAGTCTGCCCCAGGGCTGCTGTGACTTGCCACCAGTGTGGAGTGAATGAATAATGCTCTGTAAAACATCTTTGAGTGTCCAGAGAAGCACTATATAAAACTGATGTATTATTATTATTATTATTATTATTTATTTATTTATTTATTTGTATTGCATTTAACAAAGCACAATCTGTATATATTTATTCAAACTATTTCTCCAGCTGTTATATAGAACTAGGAACTGATTTAAAGTAAATGGCTTCATTGGTTGATAAGATAATTTCATGGCTAAATTAACAACGTTTCCATGGAATCAGGCCAAATAAAAGTCAGGTCTATGGAGATGCAAGCTCTTTCTTCACAATAAAAACGCATGAATTTCCAAGATTTTCAGTGCAATAAACACAACCACCATCTAAATGTTACATACTGTGACTTTATTTAGACCTACATGTGTCATAATACCTTGAAAACATGTCCCAGGGCCCACTGATTTATTATTATTGAGTCAAAGCTAAAATGTTACACAGTGAGGCTTTAAGTAGTCAGTAGCACTGCATTACTCTAACTGCTGCTGTTACTAAAACTAATACGACTACTATTACATATGCGCAGACTGGAGTGGGGATTCCAACCATCAACCTTTGGGTTAGTGGGTAAATCCTCGTCCACGGAGCTACTGTACCTCTACTCCAAATACTCTGAAATACTACTGAAGTATATTTTTGGATGTAAAGTATATAATATACCAAGAAACAGTTATCAGTCTGTTCAAATATGCGCTTTTGTATTGTTAAAGTAAAAACGATATTGGTAATGTTGAGAATTTAAGTTTAAAAAGAACTAAACCTGCTAAATTTGGTGCAGGGAAAAAATAATAATAAAAAAACGGGAAGAAATTAAAAAATAAAAACAATTTCCACTGATGAAAACTGATTTGAAGTCTGTCGAGGTGAGAGAATCTTGTAATCTCACCTCCCACTTCTCACAATAGCTGTTATCATTTCACACTTTCATTATTCTGTTTCATTCTTGTCCGGGATGGGAAAGTGGAAGCATATTTTTTCACAGACCTCAAATCTGAAAAAAAAAAACAAAAAACAAAAAGAAGAAGAAAGGAAATGAAATGAAAGTAAAAATGGTGAATGTGGAGATGAGACAGGAGTGATGTTACAAGGCTGACGAACGCACAGCTAAAACTTGAATGCTCCAAAGTAGCCGCGCCTGAGGAACCAGAATGTCCGGCTACAGATTGGGACGTGGCGGTTTACTTGTAAAAAAGAGGAAAAAACAATGAAGCTATAATTAAACTATGACTCATCTCAGGTAAAAGAGGTTCTATATTTTGTTCTGAATGTTTGGAGAATTTTGGAGAGGCGATGTCTTCTGCATTTGAGACACAAGTGATACAAATTTTCAATCTTTGTGGTTCGGTTCTGGTCTCTTTTAGAATGTAAAAGTGACTTTCATACTAGGCAATGTGGGTGAAGTGTCAGGCAGTTCTTCCACCTGGTATTCCCGGTATTCCGAGTACTAACCAGGACTCGGCTTCGGCTTAGCTTCTGAGATCAGACGAGTCTTTGAGAAGGAGGTTTGGGCACTTTCAACAAACAAAATGTACGTGGAAATGTCTGGCATATTTTCCAGCAGCTTCATAAATCACCAAATCTTCAACCAACAAGGTCCACAAAGGATAAACATTCTAACATGAACAATTTATCCACACTCTCAAGGGAAGAAAGACGAAAACTTAAAGGAGAAGAACGACCATGCATTAGTGACACACTGAACAAAACTATCGATATGGTCATGAGTAAAACAGAAGTAACTTGAGAGATTTGTGCAGTTTGATGCGACAGATGTTCACAGATTACATGTCGAACATTTAAACTGCACAAATCTCTCTGTCTATGAAAATATCTCCATCATAAAATCGATTTTAAATTTTTTGAGTGAACTAGTTACTTATTAACGAATTACTTATTACTTATGATGGCCACACCGGTTTGTCAAAGCCTGATCCCGATCAGATTTCAGAAGCTCAGCGGGGTTGGGCCCTATTAGTACTTGGATGGGATCAATGGGAATTTCAGGTGCCACAGTGGGGCACCAGTTGTAAAAACTGTCATTGTGTCCTTAGGCAAGACACTTCACCCACATTGCCTGATATGAAAGTGGTGTGTGTTTGTGTGTGTGTGTGATGGTGTGTGTGTGATGCGGACGGCAGAAGCTCAGTTGGTAGAGCGTTTGTCCACTGATCTGAAGGTTGGCGATTCAAATCCCACTCTTGACACCAACCATCATTGGTTTAGTGGTCAGCTCCACTGACCCACAGGTTGGCTGGTGTGATTCCAGCTCCCACAGATGAATGCTGTCGTTGTGTCCTTGGGCAAGACACTTAACCCACCTTGCCCACAGTGTTTGCGTACACTGGTGTGTGAATGGGTGAGTGATTCCTTGTTGTAAAGCGCTTTGAGAGCCTTGAAGGTGGAAAATTTGGCCATGACCATTTACCATGGTGGTGATCCGAAGGACCGATGGTGCAGATTGGTAGTGCTTCAATCTGCCCCAGGGCAGCTGTGGCTACAATAGTAGTTTACCACCACCAGATATGGAGTGACTGAATAATGCTCTGTAAAGTGTCTTGGAGAGAAATGTCTGTGTAAAGTGCTATATAGATTAAAAACTTACTTAGTTCTGTTTTATTCATGACTTTAATGTTAGTTTTGTTCAGTACTTCACTAATGCGGCGTCGTTGTTAGGCTTTAAGTTTTCGTCTTTCTTCCCTTGATAGTTGTGGATCAATTCTTCATGTTAGAATGTTTATCCTTTGTGGACCTTGTTAGTTGAAGATTTGGTGATGGGGCAGATTGATGATATGATATGAAGCTGGTGGAGAATACGCCAGACATTTCCACAGATATTTTACCACAGAAAACCATTAACTGGAAGTGACGTTTACCTACATCGCTGCACTTCCGGCTGTTGTGAAAAAGGTCAATTATTAATCTTTTTGATAGTTCTAAAATGCTTTTAAAGTGTATTTGACAGGCTAGACTACTTATTTCACTAAAACATAGTTAATATTAAGAGTTTATTAACAATCTGGCTTTTTTCCTAGTTTTTAAAATGTTGGTGTATATTATAGTTTGACTTTCTGGTGGGACACGGGTGGGGGTTCAGTGGTGGTGGCGGAGCTCAGAGAGGGAGGTGGAGGCTGGGTGATGCAGGGACTTGTACACAGTGGTGAGGAGCTTGACATTTATTTTGTTAATTGAAGGTTTAAAGTGACAGAAAATACTTCTTTTTCATGTAAATCGTCACTGCATTTTGGATGGTGTTTTCTGCGTTGATGACATAGGTCGAGGTATTTTGTTGTAGAACTCACTCGCTACTTGTGTTTTTGTACTTTTCTTTCCCACTTTTTTTCTACAAACTGTAAATATTGACCACAGGTGCTACCCACCCAAGTGAGAATTATAAAAATACATAATTACTTTAAAGCTTTGGCGTATGCTCTTTCACTGAAACGCTTCTGAGGTGAATACTTTTGTTTGCTTGATGTAAAAGTACACAGTTACACAGTACACACCTGTTGTATTTTCTAAAATGATTTACTCATAAAGGTCGAGTAAATACACTGTGTTTTTAACCATGGAGGATATTGGCTTTTTTAACCCAGAGACAAATTTGCACTGCATTTAAAGCCATAATATGTACTTTTTTCACCAAACAATTCAACACACAAACTGGTTTTTTCACAAACCTGACTCATATTTGGCCTGTCAGTGAGCCTCCACCTGCTTGGCCTGTTTGTCTCTCTGCAAATGTCGCTTTAATCTTCCACAGTATGACAAAAATGTATTTATCTTCATGGAGAATGTTCTGAAGTATGGGTTCCTGCAAGTGACGTAAAATGCCACCTCCACTCTATCAAAAAATATTCAGAAACTTTTAATTGAAAGAGGAAGAAGAGGAGTGACGAACACAGAGACACAACATACAAACTCAAGGATATAGCGAAAATAATGAGAAGATTTTATCACTCACCTCTTGTAAAGCTGTACATTTAAAGTGCAGCATCTCATCCACATTATCCATACAATTTGCCCTCCGCAAATAATGACATCTAGTCCACAAAACCGCGCTGTTAATCCAGTTTGAGTTGTTGTTTAAAAGTAAAAAGGTGGGAGTAGTTCCTCACGTGTGTCTGTTTACATCCATACAGCGCACGGATCGAGGTGAAGCTTCAGATTAGTGATAGTGACTCTACTTCCTGTGGACTTTATCTCTAATATTTTATGCTTTAAAAATCTTGTATCTGAAGTTTTGCACCACATTTCACAAATAATAATAACACAGTTTTGACTTGTATCTAAAGTAGAAGTGCAGCGCTCGGATCTTTTGAACACTTAAGAGTCTCAGAGTGAGTGGTCTGCAGACATATCACACTGCAGTCTTTGCCATCAGAGATTCGAAGTCTCATAAGATTCGTCTTGTGTCTGTGGCGTGCTCTTTTTGTCGCATGTTTAAAAATTGTTGTAATCCTGTAGTGTGTAGCGGCCTTTAGTGACAGTAGTGTACAGTGCTGTAAGGATTTGTGTTGTGGTTCAGGTAATATTTTAAGTAGACTTTTTAAGAGCTTACCACTTGTGTTACACTTATTTACAGTCCTCTTAGCAGTGTACAATGCAGTGAAGGTTTTTTGTTGTGTTGTGTTGCAGGTGAACATGGAGACGATGTCAGTGAGCTCGCAGCTGAACAAAAGCGTGAGGCAGCAGTACATGAACCTGCCTCAGGGGGACAAGTGTCAGGTGACGTACGTGTGGATCGACGGCAGCGGGGAGGGCCTCCGCAACAAGACCAGGACTCTGGCCCACGAGCCCAAGACCATACAGGGTACCACCACCACAATACTCTTTTATTTTTATTTTGGATGTTTGGTTTTACTCTACTTTGCTTTACTTTACTTTACTTTACACGACTCTGCTTTACTTTACTTTACTCTTCTTCACTCTGCTCTGCTTTACTTTACATTTAACTTTACTCTGTTACATTACTCTTACTTTACTCTACGTTACTTTACTTCACTCTACTCTGCTTTACTTTACTCTGCTCTGCTTTACTTCACTCTACTTCACTCTGCTCTGCTTTCCTTTACATTTAACTTTACTTCACTCCATTTTACTCTGTTATGTTACTCTTACGTTACTTAACCCCACTCTACTTCACTCTACTCTGCTTTACTTTACATTATTTTACTTTATTCTACTTCATTTTACTCTCCATTACAATAATCATACTTTACTCTACGTTACTTTACTTCACTCTCCTCTGCTTTACTATACTCTGCTTTACTTTAATCTTTACTCTACTCTACTCTACTCTGCTATATTTTACTGTATTCTACTCTACTGTACTGTACTCTACTTTACTCTTTACTTTAATCTACCCTGCTTTACTTTACTCTACTCTGGTATACTTTACTGTACTCTATTCTACTGTGCTTTAACTCTACTCTACTTTACTTTACTCTTTACTTTTACTTTACTCTATTCTACTCTACTCTGATTTACTTTACTTTACTTTTACTTTACTCTATTCTACTCTACTCTGCTTTACTTTACTTTTACTTTACTCTATTCTACTCTACTCTGCTTTACTTCACTCTACTTTACTCTTCTTCACTCAGTTCTGCTTTACTTTATTTAACTTTACACTACTCTACTTTACTCTACTCTGCTTTACTTTATTTTACTTTCAATTTACTCTACTATACTCAACTTTACTTTGCTCTGCTTTACTTTACTGTACTTAAATTTACATTCCTATACTCTACTTTACTTGACTTCACTCTACTCTGCTTTACTTCACTGTACTTCACTCTGCTTTACTTCAATCTACTTTGCCTTATTCTACTTTACTCTTGCTTCTACTTTACTACACTCTAATTTACTCTACTTTAATCTACTTTACATGGTTATTGGATCCTAATTAATAAAAGGAGCACTTGTTGCATTCATTTAAGTGAGTGAGGTCAGGGTATAAATAAATTAGAAATGTCAGTGGCTTTTTGTGAAATTTACAGTGACTTTCACAACCCTGTCAGTGGTAGAAAGTTTTAAAGGAAAGACAAGTGAATGCGAGGTCATAAAACTGCAGGGCCCCCTGACCAGACCTGACCAGACCTGACCAGGACGTGTTCTGACTGGGACCCAAGAACCAGGTGTTTGACAGTTTAGATCATTTTGGCCTGGACAAAAGACCACGCACAACCAGACCATAGTTACACCCCTTTAGTTCACTGTCACGTGTTTGACTTTTTCACATTTGGACTTGTCAGCCAGGGCATAGTGACAGTCACTTTACAATTACTACAATTACAATTAGTGCAATTACTCCAAAAATCGACTCAATTACTCACTCAAGAGTATTATATTATGTTAGGGTGAGCGGTTGTACACTTGTAGGGAGTAATATATTACATTAGGGTGGGTTATTGTACAGCTGTAGGGAGTATTATCTATTACATAAGGGCGAGTTGTTGTACAGTTGTAGGGAGTATTATCTGGTCCATAAGGGTGAGTTGTTGTACAGTTGTAGGGAGTATTATCTGGTCCAAAAGTGTGACTTATTGTACAGTTGTAGGGAGTATTATATGACATAAGGATTAGTTGTTGTACAGTTGTAGGGAGTATTATCTGTTACATAAGAGTGCGTTGTTGTACAGTTGTAGGGAGTATTATGTGTTACTTAAGGGTGCATTGTTGTACAGTTGTAAGGAGTATTATCTGTTACATAAGGGTGAGTTGTTGCACAGCTGTAGGGAGTATTATATTGCACAAAGGTGAGTTGTTGTATAGCTGTAGGGAGTATTATAGTATGTTAGGGTCAGTTGTTTAAGGGATTATCATCTGGTCCATAAAGGTGAGTTGTTGTGCAGTTGTAGGGAGTATTATCTGTTACGTAAGGGTGAGTTTGTGTACAGTTGTAGGGAGTATTATATTACATTACGGTGAGTTGTTGTACAGTTGTAGGGAGTATGATCTGTTACATAAGAGTGAGTTTTTGTGCAGGTGTAGGGAGTATTATCTGTTACATAAGGGTGAGTTTGTGTACAGTTGTAGGGAGTATTATCTGTTACATAAGAGTGAGTTGTTGTACAGTTGTAGGGAGTATTATCTGTTACATAAGAGTGAGTTGTTGTACAGTTGTAGGGAGTATTATCTGTTACATAAGAGTGAGTTGTTGTACAGTTGTAGGGAGTATTATCTGTTACATAAGGGTGAGTTGTTGTACAGTTGTAGGGAGTATTATCTGTTACATAAGAGTGAGTTGTTGTACAGTTGTAGGGAGTATTATCTGTTACATAAGGGTGAGTTGTTGTACAGTTGTAGGGAATATACTTTAACTCTCCTGAATATACAAAAATAAAAACATGAACATAAATTCAATCAAATATTGTCTCTCTGTGTGTGTGTCAGAAATCCCAGAGTGGAACTTTGACGGTTCCAGCACGTACCAGGCCGAGGGCTCCAACAGTGACATGTACCTGATCCCAGTGGCCATGTTCAGAGACCCCTTCACCCTGGACCCCAACAAACTGGTGCTGTGTGAGGTGCTCAAGTACAACCGACTGCCTGCAGGTAAACACACACACACACACCGCAATTTTATTATATTATTTGATTATTCTATTCATTTCATTCCATTAGAAAACTTGTGTACCATATTTTTGGACTTTAAGTCGCACTTTTTTTCATGGTTTGGGTGTTTCCTGCGACTTATACTCTGGTGCAACTTAAATATTAAAATGTTCACACTGAAGTGGCGAGAGGCTCTAGTCTTGTGTGTCAGTATCTGCTGTCACTGCTGCAGAAAGAGCCACTGTCCTGTCTGGTTAATCGATCACACCACTGAAAATTAAAAAGACAGCTGAGAAGACTGAACACAAATGCTCCCCAAAAGAAAATCACATTTTGCAGATTAGAATCTGCAAGTCGTGAAATCTGCAGCTGAAAACGATAATCAAGCAGCAGAAAGACAGTTTGGAATGAACGAGAAACTTGTGACACCGGGAGGATGCACCATGAAACTTTCCTGAAGTCACTGGATGGATGGACAAAGCCTGGACTTCAGTGACACCGAAACCATCCTGTCAGGATTCAGAAAGACTAATAATTCTAACTGGAACTGATGCTGAGTCTGATGACAGCTACATAGAAGAGAAATCTCTTGAATCATGTTGTGTCTTGAATACATTAGTCGTGGCTGAGACAGTGTGTGATGTTTGTGTTTTCAGAGACAAACCATCGCGCTCGCTGTAGGAAGATCATGGAGCAGGTGAAGGACGAGATGATCTGGTTTGGGATGGAGCAGGAGTACACTCTGTACGGGACGGACGGACACCCCTTTGGATGGCCCAAGAACGGATACCCCAAACCCCAGGGTGAGTCCAGCCCCCTCATGCTGTAATTTCATAGACTCGATGCTTAGATGATCAGAATACAGCAGAAAAGATCAACTTTATATGAGATGTATTGGAGTATTGTGAGTATTGTGAGTATTGTGAGATGTGAGATCATGTAGTTATGCAAAATCAACTCTGAATTTGGAGTTTTCTATCCTGTTATAACGTTCTCTTGTCAAAAACATGTTTGAAGAGGTTTCAGATGTCATTCATGCATGTTTCAATCATCTCCAAGGAACTATTTGAAGCCTCTTTACGGTTAGCTCCACCCATCAGCCTTCCACATGACCTGTTTTTCTAAATATACAAACAGAACTATACAAACTGTGCAGCAGGATACAATACAGTACTCTAGAACTTCACAAACCTCATGGCATGTGCTGTAGTTTTAGTAGAGGTACACGCTGATTGTGTTGTGATAGTGCTCTGAATGGGGAGTGACTTAGTGCGGGGAGTGAGGGCAGCCTGAAAAACTCAGTAAAACTTATTAAACATTTTAGTGTCAAACTCAGATTCACAGAGGCCAAAATTAAAAACTGGGACTAAGTCATGGGCCAAACTAAATATTGATTGAAGAATTTCAACATCATCTGCATGTTTTCTCTTCTTTTGAGATATGTAATGTTAAACCTTTTCTTATTCAAATAAATGTTTAATAATAGTTTTGCTTAAACATTGAATCCAGAACAAGTATAATATAAAATAATAACAACTTTTTAAATGTAGCCTGCGGGCAGCTCTAATACAGATTTCATATGATCTCATGGGCCAAATATAATTATATCATGGGCCAAATTTGGCCTCGGGGTCTGAGTTTGACATGTCTGTTTTAGTACGTTGTAAGGTAACATGGTGATCTTAGTATGCTATATGTTAACAGTTTATACCTTAAAGAAGTAAAATCTTCTTTCAAAAACTAAACAAAAAAATATGAATATGAATGAACATCCTTTAAGTGCTTGGCTTAGATGAGTCTGAAATAAGATGTTTTGGTGCCCCCTAGTGGATACAGCGTAGTCTACTTAGGGCTCCAGATTGTTCTCTCTAGATACACACACACACACGCACGCACACACACACGCACGCACACACACACACACACACACTTATCAATCAATCATACTTAATTTTATAGCACTTTTCATACATTTGAAATGTAGCACAAACTGCTTCACATGCAACAGAAAAATTACAATAATTAAAACCAACATCACTGTTTCATCCATATATACAGCAATTTAAACAGAAACAGAAAACAGAAAGCTCCTAAAGGTTATAGTAAAAATAAAAATGGAGAGCTAAAATCAGCATGACGCCTCTCCATGAGTTTTAGTTTGGACTCTTGGGACAGTTAAAAGATGAGACCTGGAGACCTGAGAGTCTGAAAGGCTCATATGATAAAAGCAGATACAGACCGTCAAGAGCTTTATAAACCAATAAAAGAACTTTAAAATCTGTCGATCTTACATTAACACTTTTACTATTCTGAAGATTTACAAGTCTGTCCTCCCACATCCTGAACTTGAATCCAACCAGCCTACAGCAATATAAAATAATATAATAATCAAATAATATAATCGTCTCGTGTGTGCTGTTGTGCAGGTCCATACTACTGCGGTGTGGGGGCGGGCTGTGCGTACGGCAGAGACATCGTGGAGTGTCATTATAAAGCCTGTCTGTACGCCGGGGTCAACATCTACGGCACCAACGCAGAAGTCATGCCATCACAGGTACTGAAGCGTAATAATGTCATATATCAAGTCAAACAATGGGCACTTTAAATATTCCTTCCTATGTTACGCAAAATGGACTCTTGTGAGCTTTAAGCCATGTTATAATGTTGTTATCTTCTCAAAAACCTCATTGTTCCCTTCACTACTTCTCGTACTCTGAGGTCTGAGGGCAGCGTCCAACTTATCGCCCCAAAAACAAGACTCAAAAGTGACCCTGGATTGAGTCTGGGGTGACTCTGGAGTGACCGGGCTTTTTCTGTGGTTGGCCCCAAACTTTGGAACATTCTCCCCCTCACATTAAGAGCTTCCCTTCAGTCGATTCCTTTAAGTCTCATTTAAAACCTCACGTTTACTCACCGACTTTTAACACGGCGTGACAATTGTCTTGTCTTTTATGGATTTTATTTGCCATTTGTTAATTTTAGTATTAGTATTTTTCATAGACTTGCTTATTTATTTATTTTATGCTTTATTTTATTTAATGTGTTCACTTATATTCTGCCTACCCTGTGCAGGACTTTGGAAACTTTGTGTTGGTAAAATGGATTGGATTGTAATGTCATGAAGTGGTAGTTTTCATGTTAACAGCTCCTTTTACCTAGCCAGGCTGGTGCCACCTAGTGCCTAGACTCAATTTCATTTCTCTCCAGCGACTAGGTCAGGAATCAGAATACACTAGACGGTTCGCAAAAACCCCGGAAGTGCAAATTCAGGCACTAGCCAATCAGTGAAGAGCCATATATTCAGTGTTGTCAACCATTCCTGAGATTGAGGATTTAAAGCTGGAATAAAGAAAATGTTTGGTGAATTTTATCAAGGGGAAAGACGTTATTGTCCTTCTTCCTACGGGATTTGGGAGAAGCTTAATATACCAGTTAGTCCCGTTAGATACGCCACGACCAAATAGCAGCGATTGGTCAAATAAAAAAACTACCCGCCTACCATTGAGTGAACAAATCCTAATGCTGTCAGGTCACACGGTTTCCACAAATTGAAAACAGCTGATGAACCAGGCTAGGTAAAATGTGCTACACAAATAAAGTTGGACTGGATTGGACTGTGATGTCGTGAAGCGGTAGTTTTCATGTTAACAGCTCCTTTTACCTGTAGATGTGCAATTCCAGGTCTCAAAATGATCCAAATGATTTTAGTGAAGATGTATGGAGTTTAAAAACACCGTGGAGCACTTATTTTATTACCACATGACATCACAAGGTGGTACAGAGGGAAGAACTAAAGGCTAAATCTGCAGGGTTTGTGTGTTAAAAACGTGTGGAAAACAAACAAAAACAAAAAAAAATGCAACTCCAGATCTGTTTGTGATGAGGAAACAACATTATAACACATTATAACAGATCCAAATGTGTTAATGGCTCTCGTGACTAAACAGAATCTTGTGTGTTGTGTGTTGTGTGTGTGTGTTGTGTTGACAGTGGGAGTTCCAGATCGGGCCGTGCGAGGGCCTGGACATGGGGGACCACCTATGGATGGCGCGCTTCCTCCTGCACCGCGTGTGTGAGGACTTTGGGGTGGTCTCGACCCTCGACCCCAAACCCATGATGGGCAACTGGAACGGAGCGGGCTGCCACACCAACGTCAGCACCAAGGCCATGAGGGAAGAGGGAGGACTCAAGTACGTATGACCACCTTTTACTGATCAAAAGTATATCAGAACTTTATAAATACTGATTAAGTGCGAGTCAAATGTGATCGAATTAATCAAACACGCCATAAGAAATGTGGAAGTCCTGCTCATCTCTCAGTGTGATGGTAATCAAAGGTAAACAAAGATGCACGGTTTTACTTTTATGATGGAGGTTAATCTGCACGCTCGTCCAATCCACTTTATTCAATCCGATCTTTATTCACAGAGAACATTTTATACACATGACAGTTTCAAGTGCTGCACAGTGCTGCACAGACAAATTAATACAATAAAAGACAGAAAATCATAAATAAAAACAAAAAAAATCTAAAGTGTTAAAATGCATAAAGCTAAAAATTATGTATCTAAAAATGTATAATATAAAAATGAATAAATAAAAATATATAAACAAAATGAAATTAAATACACAGAGGAGCACACATCTCACACAGTGTTAAAACCCAGAGAATAAAGACGAGCCTTAAAACCCTCCACCGTGGGGTTGATGTTTGGATATGGAGGGTGCAGAGTGTTCCAGAGCTTAGTCCTCATACAGATTTTATTGCTTTGCCTTTTGCCTTTACTGTGTTTATTTCATTTTGGACGTTTTAATTGCTTAAAAATACCATGAAAAACAGCAAGGTGACCTCTCCACAGATCTGATCTGTGAGCTGGTCTGGTGGTGGTCACCTGCTTTATCCATGGAGATAGGTACAGGGTCGCTCGACGGTAGGCGGGTATTTTTTATTTTTTTTATTTAACCAGTCGCTGCTATTTGGTCATGATGTATGTAATGCGTCAAATCCTTCAGGAAGAAGGACAATAACGTCTTTCCCCTTGATAAAATTCACCAAACATTCTCTTTGTTCTTTTAATCCTCGATCTTATTATTTGTGAATAGATGCGCCTTTTGTTTAAAAGAGACCACAATAAATGCACTGACAGGATTTTGAATGTTAAAAAACTATAAAACCAAACCATAAGGGAGCGGAAAGAGTTCACATTTCATATTTAGCCGTAAAAGTCTGATCAATTCTACACATGTAGGTGCTGTAAAGTCATGGAAAATTCACTTTTAGGTCATGAAAAAGTCATGGAAAAGTTTAAAAATTTTGTCAGTGAAAAAGAGTGAGTTACATTTCAAGGCAAAACAACAACATCTCCACAGAGACAAGCAGAGATGGCTTTAAATTGAACAAAAATATTTATAACTTATACAAAATAACAGACAGTGCACTTATGGTATTGATAAAGGAGTCAATAATTGTTGCATATTTATTCATAAATAGTGGTAAATATTAGCAAGACTCACATAGCAGAGTTGAGCACGGCTTTTTGAATCCCTGGGGCCCCCTAGAGGTTTGCAGAGAGCTGTGCAATATCTGCTGTGCCCACTTGTTTTTAATGATTATTCGTACACTCGATTTCTCTACTAAGAAAAAGACTTGATACTCGGGATGTAACAATAACCAAAATATCATGCTACTGTATCGTCAAAGTTGTCACAATAATATCATGGACCATCACAATATATCGAATTACAAGTCTCTTTGCTTAAATGAAGAGTTATGGTGCAGCAATAACTAAAAAAACACAGAGGGAACTACATAGACCATGATCCTTTGCTCCATTTCAGTGCAGACTACAAGAAGAAATAACAGTTCTAACACTTTTAGTCTTGTCAAGGCATTTTAAGAGGTTTTGTTAGCCTCAACAAAATATCGCAATAAATATCGTACCGTGAGATGTATATCATGAAAATATTGAGTAAATATTGTGCATATCGTGAAAGATTTGGATATTGTGACACCCCTAATCGTGAGCCTCCTCATCTTAATAAATATAGTTTATTATTATCGTTTATTTATTATCGTAATATTATCTTCATAAATATCGTCCCTTGAGGTTCATACCATGACGATATCGTACAGTAAGACTTGGATATCGTTATACCCCTACTCGATACTCAACTAATCCCTCAGTGGTCCATGGGCTTGTACTAGTCCATAGGAAAAGTTTATTTCTGTCCTGTGAATGTGACCTTTTAGTATCACTAACAGCTCAAATGAGTATCTAGTTTCAATATTATAGTTTTGGTATTGATCAGTATCAGATTTTCGATACTTTTGACCACTCTAGTCTATATCAAAGCGCTCTTGAGTTCCACATCTTAACACATCTTCTCCTCCTCAGGTTCATCGAGGAGGCCACGGAGAAGCTCGCCAAACGCCACGAGAAGCACATCCAGCTGTACGACCCCAACGGAGGCCGGGACAACCAGAGGCGCCTGACGGGCCACCACGAGACCTCCAGCATCCACGACTTCTCCACCGGCGTAGCCAACCGCGCCGCCAGCATCCGCATCCCTCGCCACGTGGGCCAGGAGAAGAGGGGATACTTCGAGGACCGCAGACCCGCCGCCAACTGTGACCCCTACTCCGTCACCATGATCCTGGCCGAGACCATGCTCATAGACCCGGACGAGCAGGACAAAGAGTACGACTTCGAGAAGGAGTACATGTTCGACAAAGAGTAGAGCGGGGTAGTCGTAGGATGTTACTGTAGCTTTATTTCAAAGTACTGTGAGTGTGTCATTGTTTACTGCCATATCTTGTACATGTTGTGTATTTAAATATTATTAAATTAAATCTAAATTGTTGTGTGTGTGTGTTTTTTATCATTTCATTTTGTAGTAATCAGAGATGGGCAGAGTAAAACTGGCCAGTGTTAAAAAAGCATGGTAAAAAATAAAGTTTCAGATAACCTCAATTAGAACCCTGCATTAGGTTTTAACACCCAAAAGATGATTTAGGAAGAAATTTGGAAGAAAAATTTAATGTTCTAGAGGTTGCTCAAGCTGCATGAAGTTTTAAAGCTCCTGCAGATGATTTGGTTTTCCTTAAGAAGCTTCACAATATGAAAATACAAAAGTAATAATAAGAAAAGAATAAAAATAAGAAAGTACCTTAACGGCTTTGGGTCGACATCTTTGGTACTTGAGTGGAGAAATGTTTGGCCTGGTATTCTTCCACTCCAATGTGAAAGAAGAACAGAAAAAGCTGATGGTTCACCATATGATGGAAAAGGAAAGTTCAGAGGTTCCACAAAAGTGATGTGATGCTCTTAATCAAACAAATTATGAAGGGAACAGATCAGTGAGTTTGTCTCCACCAGCACCATGTTCAAAGCTCTTGATCTGCCAAAAACATTCTGAACAGTTCCCCTGCAGCAGACTGGGCTGATGATGCAGACTTTCAGAAGGAACTAAAACTGTGCATTCCAGGAAAGTGTCAGTGATGTTACTGAAAGGAGGTGAAGCTTATTCAAGATTTTAACTGTAGCTGAACAAAGAATGAAGATCAGAAACGGTTTCTACTGCAGGAGTCAAAGACACGGGCACATCTTTAATGACGCCAACACACACACAGTGGAGCTGGACTTTCTAAGCAACTTTTTAAAGTTATTTATTTTATTTTTTTAAATGCAGTTTATGTTTGCAGAATTGCAGAATGAAATGACAAATTATTCGAGTTTGCCTTATTTATTTGGTTCTGTGTGATAGTACAGACCCTATAGGGCAATTTTCAAGTTTCAGTTTTCAACCTCAAAATGTGAATTAATTTGTACAAAATTTGGATCCAAATATTTGGCCAGATATGGAACCAAATGCAGGGTCCTAATCTACAGAATCTGACAACCCTACTGAGAACTGAGTCACTGTTTTGATGTAAAAAAAAAAGTTGTTGTGGGGGGGGGCATGATTGGCAGCCATGCTTCCATCAGGCAGCCCCAGGTTAACTGTGAACACAGTAGTAGCTTACCACCACTGGGTATGGAGTGACTGAATAATGCTCTGTAAAGCGTCTTTGTGACATATGTCTGTGAAAAGCACAATATATATAAACACTTACTTACTGACTTACTTACTATTTAATGGGGCACTATGTCACTTTTCTGATAGAGGGTCCGCCCCTTGTTTGTCTCCATGGAGATGCTGTTACCAGTAAAAACTCTATTTGATTTGAACATGTTTACTTCATATTAGGGGAGACAGTCAGGTCATGTGTGTGAAATTCAAACTCCAAACCTCTTTTAATGATGAAGTATGATTGATGCAGTAAAAAGAAGATACAGTATTTGACCACTAGAGGAGGCCAGAGATACTTTTTTTCCCCCATGGAGAGGTCCGGTAACAGCAGCTCTTCATTCTGAGAAGGTGACCGTATTGTCAGCGCGTTGTTCGATGAGNCGACGCACGCCGTCTCCACGAACTCAGCTCTGCAATCAACAGGTCTGTAGCATATATATACACACACTTGTTCTTCATCTGTTCTGTCCTCGGCCAACGAATATGAGTATTACAGCCAAATAAACAAACCAATGGCAATTAAAAGACTAATGATATGCTTCTTAGTGTCGAACTTCAAAATAAGTCCTCCCTGGTCATAATTAAACCAGCTGATTTTAGACTTTCGAAAAGACTGTAAATGCCAGATTAACTTAAAATGTGGACAAGGAAGAACATGTTACATTTGCAAAAGTTTTATTTACAGTCTTACTCTAGTTGCAGTTGGGTAGCCATAATGCAGAATGTGGCCAATAATAGATTGATAGTAAATCTGTCATGATAATTACTTTATCGACTTCAATATATGTAAGCTGGAACAATATATATTGAGTATCAGTATTTATTGTGTGCACAAATTCTTTGCAATGGTTTGGACAGTTTATATAATAAGGAAAGATTTGAGCTTTAGAGGGTAGAATAAACAATGATTAAGGCTTCATTCTGCTATTTATTTGTTGCAGCTCATGCCGTATAATGATACCCTGTCTAAAAATACATTTACTGGAGTTATGCTGCTTTGTGTCAGAAGCATAAAGCGGTTTTATCGTGATATTTCTCTGTAGTGATATATTGTGCTTCAAAATCTGTTATCGTGACACTCCTAGCTGATAGTCATGAAGTTCTGCCTCACTGGTTTCGGTCAAAGTAGCTGAATTGCAGGATAAATCTATAGTATTGTTACTGTGGCTTCAACTGTTGCTTCCCCTTCACAGCACATATCAGCGCTTCATCTCTATAACAGACTTGACTCCTATCTTCCTTCAGTTTGCTCTCGTACATGGGCGCTTGTGAAAATTGCTGCCTATTATGGTAAAATGGCTGCTGCAAACAGGCGACTCCAGTGTGACCTTGCTGCTGAGGCTTTTTATTAAACAGCTCGCTCCTTTGCCCACATCACACAGAGTCACCAATTTCTCTTGTCTAGCTAATGGTTTCTTTCTTCCATTTCATGCCATTTTTAAATTTGACTCGGCCCCAGTGTCGTGATACACTCAGAGAACCCCAGACTTCCCTTCTTGTGTCCTTGTTGTGAGATGATGTACTGTAAAGGTGCAAGCAGAAACCAATGACACACTTTTTATGTTTCTTTTATTAAAGGTGCATTGCACAACTTTTCTGGTGGAGGGTCCATCACCTGCTTGTCTTCATGTAGATGTTATTGCTTTATCTATAATGTTCCACGATAGAGATCAAACCTGTCTATCTCAAGGGAGACACCTATAGGCTACATTGTGGAGAGGCAACCCTATTCACAGAGAAAATTATTGTATTTTTGAGCACACTTGTACTGAATAAACGCTAGATAGATGTGTTTAATGTCATATCCTGGAACCAAAGCAATAACATCTCCACTGAGACAAGCAGATGATTAGCCTGATTCATCAGCCGGTTTCACTTCGTGGAAACTGTCTGACCTTGCAGCAGTAGGATTTGTTCTCTCGACTGTAGGCGGGTCCTTTTTTTATTTAACCAATCGCTGCTATTTGGTCATGACATATGTAATGCACTGGAATTATCAGTGGTGTTCAAATAATTGCTGGCACAACAGCAAACAAAGCAGAGAGTGAACATGTCTGTTAGAGATCATTGTCGTTTCTGCGAGATGAAGTTATGAATTAAAGGTGCAATAAAAAATGCGAAATTAGTATTTGACAAAGGAAGTCCAAAGGAGGATAGCATATGCAGTCTGCTATCGCAACTCGGGTTGGTTCAGCTCTTCATTGATTGGCTGGTGCGCGGTCTACAGTTTCTGGGGTTCTTGCAAACCGTAGTGTATTCTGATTCGCTGGAGAAAAAAGAAATCTGCAGGGTTTGTGTGTTAAACATGTGGGAATGAAACAAAACACTCCAGATATGTTTTTTATGAGGAAACATTATATCAGAGAACAAAAAATAGTGTGATGTGGGCCCTTTAAAATGTCCATATAAAATAATCATATTATATTCTTTAAAAAGTGAATTCTAATTTGCATGTAAAGACAGTAAAAAATACTGTTGCATAAACTAGATAATGCTTTTAACTTTAGCCCACTCACTGCATGCTATTGTGTTCTTTTGTATACAATGCCAAAAGTGCACTGTAATCAAATCTTGCATCATACCAACTTGCCTATTGGTTTCTTTATTCACTGCCATTTTAAAATTTGCCACACTGACGTGATACACTGAGACGGAAATCTTCGGACTTCCCTGGATCTTGCTAAATGGAGAAGCGCTCAGAGGTTGGGGCCATTGGAGCAGAAAGATGGGACGATTAATGCAGCCTGGCGTCCGTGTTAACTGCAATCAATGTCTAGTAATGGCCTCTTTAATGTGAAGGGAGCACTGCTAGTCTCACTACAGGACCTGAGTCTGATACTCCATTAGGGCTGTAACCATGTCTATTGTCACCAGCTCAGACAGTGACCACAACATGAGCGGATATGTCCTGTCTGTAAATCTTTAGAAGGAATCTGTGTGTACTGGGATGTGCATGTTTTTCCAATAGGCTGCTGATGAACTCAATAATTTAATGGTAAAATAGTAATGGTCACACTTTTATATCGTACTTTTACACCTGAAATGCGCTCAAAGTGGTTTATATCAAAGAACCACTCACCCATGTACACACACATTCATACACCAATGTAGGCAGACACTGGGGGCAAGGGAGGTTAAGTGTCTTGCCTAAGGACACAACAACAACGTCTGTCTTATTAAAGAACATATGGTACTTCAGACTGCTAAATAGTTATAATCTACAGCATCACATCCATGGATCATTATGTTCTAACTTGCACATTTTAAGTCGCAATGTTCATCTAAAATGATTTCATAAAAGAAACATCTGTGTTAAAAAACTGTGGTGCCTTGTAAATGTCATCACAACAAAGACTCGTAAACTCTGACTGACAGCCACAGATCACACTAGCTGCACAACGCTGCCAAAATCCTACATCTAATCCTTGATCAAGAAAAATAAAATTGAAGGAGGAGGTAAATACAGAGCAGTGGGCGTATGCCAGTGGTGGTGAAAACAGGTTGATTGGCAATATATCTTGAAAATAAGTGATTAAAGTTTACTCAAACATGCACAAATCAAATACAACTTTGAGACGCTAAATGAAAAGTGGAAACAACTATAACATGGTTAAAAGCTCTGAAAATTGGATTTTAATACATTAATCTTAGCACTTCTCGTAGCACTTCTCCAGATGCTTTTGTGCATCATTCCTTCACTCTTTCAGTTCAGCCGTGGTAAGATATTACTGTACTCATGGGTTTCAGACAAATGATTCCTTCCGATTTTGAGAGGACCTTTTCCCCATTCAAAGATATATTTAATTTGAATTGTGTAAATGTATGAAAACAATGCAAAACTAACTATACTGAGTGTTTCTGTTTGAGAGAAGAACTGAGCCCAAATATGCACTTGTTTGTGTGTTAAACATGTTTGAATGAAACGACTCCAGATATGTTTGTAATGAGGAAACAACATTATAACATAGATCAGAAAATAGTTTAACATGGGCTCTTTAAATATTATGCCAACAGAGAGTACTATTGCCATAGCTTAAAACTCATGAATAGCCAATTTGTGCCTGGTGGTGGTGAAGAGTTTAGCTCAAGGACACAATAACACATATGCATTGGTTAGAGCTGGGAGTGAACTGCCAACCTTCCCTGTAATGGTTTATCATAACTCCACAGTAACAGGAAATATTTTGACATACACGTTTCAGCTCTCCACAAAGAAATTATCGTTATAGAAGATAATGACTGAATCTGAAATAGTGCTAATGCTAATTGCTGCAGATAATAGCAAAAATAAAGTCTTGGAGCCAACTTGGAATCACTTCACCATTGTAAGAATTTGAGCAGCAAGAAATCGTTTTTGAATTACATGATCCAGCTCCACATAACTGCAAACTGCGGTCATAATAGAGGGTGGTTGAGACCATTCTTCTAGATAATAATCGGTTAGAGCCTCTTTGAAAAAACTCCATTCCCCAAAAATCAACAAGCTAAATGTGTGGCAATTTGAGACTGGTATTGTAACAGGAGCAGTCTGAAAGGAACCATGGAGTCAGGCAGCTATTGTTAGTACAGAAACCAGTGTGGAGAAAAGAGCTGAATGAAAGTGATATTGACAGATAAAAAATGGTGGGTAGTAACATTTCTTCACAAAAAACATCATTCAATTCTCTGTAAAGATGAGGCATAAAGGTGGATTGTGTAACTTTTCTAATGGAGGGTTTGTCAAATGCTTTTCTCCATGGAGATGTTATTGCTCTGTGTGGAATGTTTCACAGTATGGCATTAAACACTTTCTATCTTCATAGAGGCCAAACCAGGCCAAGTTACAAGTCAGATCTATGGAGAGGCAACCCCATTCTTGTTTTTTTTAGGTATTTTTAAGATCTAAAACCACCTGTAATAAATGAATAATAAATGTAAAGTAGAGCTGTGTATGTGTGTAACTGCATGTATGTTGTACTTTTGTGGTGCATTTGAGGTAACTCTTATTAAAGACAGACTGGGCATTGGACCAGACTACAGGCGTCCGACTGAGCACAGCCCTGAGGATTAATGTCCCGCGTTCATTTGCATAAACACATATTGCCACAGCAGGCACAGTTAGGACAAGCAGTATTTGTATCCATAATGAGGCCAGAAGTCACAAAATGGCAACTCCTTTTCAAGGTTACTCTAATAACAAACTTTAAAATTATCAAAAATTTTAAATGTGTTAAAATGTATATTCACAACTAAGGTGTATGGTAAGGTTACTGTATTTTTTATTTATTTATATATATATATATATATATTATATATATATATATATATATATATATATATATATATATATATATTTATTTTTTTTTTTTTTTTTTTTTTAATAAAACTACATTTCTCCCTTGACAAAATTAGTTCTTGGTCTACATCATATTACAAATGAGTTTGTAAATGTTCTCCGTCCATGGCAGCACTTCAGTGGCTTGTTCACATCTCACACAATGATCCATGTTTTGGTTTGTTAAGTGGGCATGTACTTATGGTGATAAAAAACAGACTTATGATCTCATTCCTGTGATGCCATTTTGAAGAGATCGTTAGAAATCAATTCAGTGGTTCTGAATCTTTTTAATGGAGCTCCAGACTCAAACCCTTCCTGCCCACTCCTCTTCTTGGTCATTCTTTGTCATGCTCTGAGAGAATGACTGGTGGATTCAGTCAATCAGAGTGACGCGTGAAGTGTCAGTTGCTTCTGGTGCAAACATTTCATGTGTTGCATTTGCACACACAGCTTATATGAAGCATTGACAAGTCGACCACATCCTGAACTTGAATCCAACCAGCCTACAGCAATATAAAATAATATAATAATCAAATAATATAATCGTCTCGTGTGTGCTGTTGTGCAGGTCCATACTACTGCGGTGTGGGGGCGGGCTGTGCGTACGGCAGAGACATCGTGGAGTGTCATTATAAAGCCTGTCTGTACGCCGGGGTCAACATCTACGGCACCAACGCAGAAGTCATGCCATCACAGGTACTGAAGCGTAATAATGTCATATATCAAGTCAAACAATGGGCACTTTAAATATTCCTTCCTATGTTACGCAAAATGGACTCTTGTGAGCTTTAAGCCATGTTATAATGTTGTTATCTTCTCAAAAACCTCATTGTTCCCTTCACTACTTCTCGTACTCTGAAGTCTGAGGGCAGCGTCCAACTTATCGCCCCAAAAACAAGACTCAAAAGTGACCCTGGATTGAGTCTGGGGTGACTCTGGAGTGACCGGGCTTTTTCTGTGGTTGGCCCCAAACTTTGGAACATTCTCCCCCTCACATTAAGAGCTTCCCTTCAGTCGATTCCTTTAAGTCTCATTTAAAACCTCACGTTTACTCACCGACTTTTAACACGGCGTGACAATTGTCTTGTCTTTTATGGATTTTATTTGCCATTTGTTAATTTTAGTATTAGTATTTTTCATAGACTTGCTTATTTATTTATTTTATGCTTTATTTTATTTAATGTGTTCACTTATATTCTGCCTACCCTGTGCAGGACTTTGGAAACTTTGTGTTGGTAAAATGGATTGGATTGTAATGTCATGAAGTGGTAGTTTTCATGTTAACAGCTCCTTTTACCTAGCCAGGCTGGTGCCACCTAGTGCCTAGACTCAATTTCATTTCTCTCCAGCGACTAGGTCAGGAATCAGAATACACTAGACGGTTCGCAAAAACCCCGGAAGTGCAAATTCAGGCACCGACCAATCAGTGAAGAGCCATATATTCAGTGTTGTCAACCATTCCTGAGATTGAGGATTTAAAGCTGGAATAAAGAAAATGTTTGGTGAATTTTATCAAGGGGAAAGACGTTATTGTCCTTCTTCCTACGGGATTTGGGAGAAGCTTAATATACCAGTTAGTCCCGTTAGATACGTCACGACCAAATAGCAGCGATTGGTCAAATAAAAAAACTACCCGCCTACCATTGAGTGAACAAATCCTAATGCTGTCAGGTCACACGGTTTCCACAAATTGAAAACAGCTGATGAACCAGGCTAGGTAAAATGTGCTACACAAATAAAGTTGGACTGGATTGGACTGTGATGTCGTGAAGCGGTAGTTTTCATGTTAACAGCTCCTTTTACCTGTAGATGTGCAATTCCAGGTCTCAAAATGATCCAAATGATTTTAGTGAAGATGTATGGAGTTTAAAAACCCCGTGGAGCACTTATTTTATTACCACATGACATCACAAGGTGGTACAGAGGGAAGAACTAAAGGCTAAATCTGCAGGGTTTGTGTGTTAAACATGTGGAAAACAAACAAAAACAAAAAAAAATGCAACTCCAGATCTGTTTGTGATGAGGAAACAACATTATAACACATTATAACAGATCCAAATGTGTTAATGGCTCTCGTGACTAAACAGAATCTTGTGTGTTGTGTGTTGTGTGTGTGTGTTGTGTTGACAGTGGGAGTTCCAGATCGGGCCGTGCGAGGGCCTGGACATGGGGGACCACCTATGGATGGCGCGCTTCCTCCTGCACCGCGTGTGTGAGGACTTTGGGGTGGTCTCGACCCTCGACCCCAAACCCATGATGGGCAACTGGAACGGAGCGGGCTGCCACACCAACGTCAGCACCAAGGCCATGAGGGAAGAGGGAGGACTCAAGTACGTATGACCACCTTTTACTGATCAAAAGTATATCAGAACTTTATAAATACTGATTAAGTGCGAGTCAAATGTGATCGAATTAATCAAACACGCCATAAGAAATGTGGAAGTCCTGCTCATCTCTAGGTATGATTATAATCAAAAGTAAACAAAGATGCACGGTTTTACTTTTATGATGGAGGTTAATCTGCACACTCGTCCAATCCACTTTATTCAATCTGATCTTTATTCACAGAGAACATTTTATACACATGACAGTTTCAAGTGCTGCACAGACAAATTAATACAATAAAAGACAGAAAATCATAAATAAAAACAAAAAAAATCTAAAGTGTTAAAATGCATAAAGCTAAAAATTATGTATCTAAAAATGTATAATATAAAAATGAATAAATAAAATATATAAACAAAATGAAATGAAATACACAGAGGAGCACACATCTCACACAGTGTTAAAACCCAGAGAATAAAGACGAGCCTTAAAACCCTCCACCGTGGGGTTGATGTTTGGATATGGAGGGTGCAGAGTGTTCCAGAGCTTAGTCCTCATACAGATTTTATTGCTTTGCCTTTTGCCTTTACTGTTTATTTCATTTTGGACGTTTTAATTGCTTAAAAATACCATGAAAAACAGCAAGGTGACCTCTCCACAGATCTGATCTGTGAGCTGGTCTGGTGGTGGTCACCTGCTTTATCCATGGAGATAGGTACAGGGTCGCTCGACGGTAGGCGGGTATTTTTATTTTTTTTATTTAACCAGTCGCTGCTATTTGGTCATGATGTATGTAATGCGTCAAATCCTTTCAGGAAGAAGGACAATAACGTCTTTCCCCTTGATAAAATTCACCAAACATTCTCTTTGTTCTTTTAATCCTCGATCTTATTATTTGTGAATAGATGCGCCTTTTGTTTAAAAGAGACCACAATAAATGCACTGACAGGATTTTGAATGTTAAAAAACTATAAAACCAAACCATAAGGGGAGCGGAAAGAGTTCACATTTGATATTTAGCCGTAAAAGTCTGATCAATTCTACACATGTAGGTGCTGTAAAGTCATGGAAAATTCACTTTAGGTCATGAAAAAGTCATGGAAAAGTTTAAAAATTTTGTCAGTGAAAAAGAGTGAGTTACATTTCAAGGCAAAACAACAACATCTCCACAGAGACAAGCAGAGATGGCTTTAAATTGAACAAAAATATTTATAACTTATACAAAATAACAGACAGTGCACTTATGGTATTGATAAAGGAGTCAATAATTGTTGCATATTTATTCATAAATAGTGGTAAATATTAGCAAGACTCACATAGCAGCGTTGAGCACGGCTTTTTGAATCCCTGGGGCCCCCTAGAGGTTTGCAGAGAGCTGTGCAATATCTGCTGTGCCCACTTGTTTTTAATGATTATTCGTACACTCGATTTCTCTACTAAGAAAAAGACTTGATACTCGGGATGTAACAATAACTAAAATATCGTGCTACTGTATCGTCAAAGTTCTCACAATAATATCATGGACCATCACAATATATCGAATTATAAGTCTCTTTGCTTAAATGAAGAGTTATGGTGCAGCAATAACTAAAAAAAACACAGAGGGAACTACATATAGACCATGATCCTTTGCTCCATTTCAGTGCAGACTACAAGAAGAAATAACAGTTCTAACACTTTTAAGTCTTAGTTGTTTAGATTAAGTCTTGTCAAGGCATTTTAAGAGGTTTTGTTAGCCTCAACAAAATATCGCAATAAATATCGTACCGTGAGATGTATATCATGAAAATATTGAGTAAATATTGCGCATATCGTGAAAGATTTGGATATTGTGACACCCCTAATCGTGAGCCTCCTCATCTTAATAAATATAGTTTATTATTATCGTTTATTTATTATCGTAATATTATCTTCATAAATATCGTCCCTTGAGGTTCATACCATGACGATATCGTACAGTAAGACTTGGATATCGTTATACCCCTACTCGATACTCAACTAAGTGGTCCATGGGCGTGTACTAGTCCATAGGAAAAGTTTATTTCTGTCCTGTGAATGTGACATCTTAGTATCACTAGCAGCTCAAATGAGTATCTAGTTTCAATATTATAGTTTTGGTATTGATCAGTATCAGATTTTCGATACTTTTGACCACCTTAGTCTATATCAAAGCGCTCTTGAGTTCCACATCTTAACACATCTTCTCCTCCTCAGGTTCATCGAGGAGGCCACGGAGAAGCTCGCCAAACGCCACGAGAAGCACATCCAGCTGTACGACCCCAACGGAGGCCGGGACAACCAGAGGCGCCTGACGGGCCACCACGAGACCTCCAGCATCCACGACTTCTCCACCGGCGTAGCCAACCGCGCCGCCAGCATCCGCATCCCTCGCCACGTGGGCCAGGAGAAGAGGGGATACTTCGAGGACCGCAGACCCGCCGCCAACTGTGACCCCTACTCCGTCACCATGATCCTGGCCGAGACCATGCTCATAGACCCGGACGAGCAGGACAAAGAGTACGACTTCGAGAAGGAGTACATGTTCGACAAAGAGTAGAGCGGGGTAGTCGTAGGATGTTACTGTAGCTTTATTTCAAAGTACTGTGAGTGTGTCATTGTTTACTGCCATATCTTGTACATGTTGTGTATTTAAATATTATTAAATTAAATCTAAATTGTTGTGTGGTGTGTTTTTATCATTTCATTTTGTAGTAATCAGAGATGGGCAGAGTAAAACTGGCCAGTGTTAAAAAAAACATGGTAAAAAATAAAGTTTCAGATAACCTCGATTAGAACCCTGCATTAGGTTTTAACACCCAAAAGATGATTTAGGAAGAAATTTGGAAGAAAAATGAAATGTTCTAGAGGTTGCTCAAGCTGCATGAAGTTTTAAAGCTCCTGCAGATGATTTGGTTTTCCTTAAGAAGCTTCACAATATGAAAATACAAAAGTAATAATAAGAAAAGAATAAAAATAAGAAAGTACCTTAACGGCTTTGGGTGGACGTCTTTGGTACTTGAGTGGAGAAATGTTTGGCCTGGTATTCTTCCACTCCAATGTGAAAGAAGAACAGAAAAAGCTGATGGTTCACCATATGATGGAAAAGGAAAGTTCAGAGGTTCCACAAAAGTGATGTGATGCTCTTAATCAAACAAATTATGAAGGGAACAGATCAGTGAGTTTGTCTCCACCAGCACCATGTTCAAAGCTCTTGATCTGCCAAAAACATTCTGAACAGTTCCCCTGCAGCAGACTGGGCTGATGATGCAGACTTTCAGAAGGAACTAAAACTGTGCATTCCAGGAAAGTGTCAGTGATGTTACTGAAAGGAGGTGAAGCTTATTCAAGATTTTAACTGTAGCTGAACAAAGAATGAAGATCAGAAACGGTTTCTACTGCAGGAGTCAAAGACACGGGCACATCTTTAATGACGCCAACACACACACAGTGGAGCTGGACTTTCTAAGTCACTTTTTAAAGTTTATTTTTTTAAATGCAGTTTATGTTTGCAGAATTGCAGAATGAAATGACAAATTATTCGAGTTCGCCTTATTTATTTGGTTCTGTGTGATAGTACAGACCCTATAGGGCAATTTTCAAGTTTCAGTTTTCAACCTCAAAATGTGAATTAATTTGTACAAAATTTGGATCCAAATATTTGGCCAGATATGGAACCAAATGCAGGGTCCTAATCTACAGAATCTGACAACCCTACTGAGAACTGAGTCACTGTTTTGATGTAAAAAAAAAGTTGTGGGGGGGGGCATGATTGGCAGCCATGCTTCCATCAGGCAGCCCCAGGTTAACTGTGAACACAGTAGTAGCTTACCACCACTGGGTATGGAGTGACTGAATAATGCTCTGTAAAGCGTCTTTGTGACATATGTCTGTGAAAAGCACAATATAAATAAACACTTACTTACTGACTTACTATTTAATGGGGCACTATGTCACTTTTCTGATAGAGGGTCCGCCCCTTGTTTGTCTCCATGGAGATGCTGTTACCAGTAAAAACTCTATTTGATTTGAACATGTTTACTTCATATTAGGGGAGACAGTCAGGTCATGTGTGTGAAATTCAAACTCCAAACCTCTTTTAATGATGAAGTATGATTGATGCAGTAAAAAGAAGATACAGTATTTGACCACTAGAGGAGGCCAGAGATACTTTTTTTCCCCCATGGAGAGGTCCGGTAACAGCAGCTCTTCATTCTGAGAAGGTGACCGTATTGTCAGCGCGTTGTTCGATGAGTTTGACAAGGACACGTGGGATTAGGCCTTTAATGAATAATGTATGAATAGGCCAATGAGAGGTCAGAGCGGCAGAGGAGAGCCGAGCCAAAACGAGAAGGAAAATCAACAAAGGGCTTTCCTCTGGCATTGTAATTATTTAAACAAGCACCACAGTTACACCACTAATCTATTCATTACATTACATGGACATAGAGGGGAATAAAGTAGACAAAAAATGTACTTAATTACATTACTGCAAAATGATATTCCTCAAGTTCATAGTTGTGGTGATGAGGAAACATGATTAGAACATCAGAAAATACAGTAATATGGGCTTTTTAAAGAAAAACTGTCAGGAGGAAACATTTGATTTATAATTTGAAGTGATTGCAACGTGAAGGACAAAACATTACATATACACAAAATGAGTTATTTTCAAAGGACAAAAACACAAAATCAAAAAAACAAAAACTAAATCAGATTTGAAGGAGTGGCAAGAAACACAAATGTCCAAATCATTTCATATTGTCACATAAAGCTTTTGTCACTTGTAGATTTATTCACAGTGTGAAGAGGAAGCACAACTTTTACTCAAGTAACAGTACTGTTACTTCAATAATACATATTACTCAAGTAGGAGTAAAATGATGCTGCTAGAGAAATACCCTGAGCAGTAAAATGTCTTTAAAGAGTTACTAAAGTCAAAGTACCTGAATAAATATAACTAAGTACTACCCTCTCTACATAAACTCTCTATTACTATTAACATTTTAAAATCATATCATATAGTGTATAGGTGAGTTTCATTGTTGACAAAAGCACGTGCGTTGCATGCTGGGAATTATTTTGGTCGGCGGCAAGAAACACTAATTCAACATGACGGACAGAGCGAGAAAGCACGTAAAGGGTATTGATCCTGGTTATTTATCCACTCTAACAGCAGAGGACCCAAGACCATTTGACCAGAAACTGGTCATAAGCATCGACGGACGACAAATCACCCTTTTCAACCCTGACAAAAGGTGGACCAAACCAAATTTCTGGTCAGAATCTCCATCTACCTGGACAAATATTCACTTTGGTGATATCCACAATGACTTGGTGGAAACTCCTGGGCCATTCACAGCAGAAAAGATGAAAACCTCCAAGAGTCTCGATGTGTTGTTGAACTTGTTGGAGTCCACAGTTTGTTAGGATCTTCTACGTTTGCTCTGTGAATGTTTGAAAGCCGTTTAATTCAACGTTAGTGGTTCTTTTCACTCAGAATACGAAAAAGACATTTTCCTTCTTCCGTGCTTCTATTTGTGCATCCGATAATGCAGCAGGAATGTACCATTATCGGGGATAAATACGTGAGGTTACGCACTGTGTTTGACCGCTACCGTGTTTCTTGCCTCCAACCAAAATATTTCCCAGCATGCAACGGGGACTTTTAATAACAATGACGTCAGCTGAAACTTGCCTGTTGTCTGACTGTTTCACACTGCACACCACACAAGGTTTAGGATAATAAAAATAAAGTTCTTCCCTGATATGTTTGGGTGGTTGGTCTTCCTCTTTGGTCACAGGTGTCTCTGCTGTGACGTGTTTTATCTGCTGCTGTTCAGAGGAGCTCAGTTTGACGGTGGCAGATCTATCAGACTGAACATGCCTACAGTCACGTGCTGCTCTCTGAAATCAGGAAGCAGGAGCACAGACCGTCAGCAGAGATGAGGGGGCGTTTACCTTGGCTCATACATGAGACTCTCTTCTGACCAGCACCAGTGACACATGGTCAGTCTGATAGATGGGCCAGATCTGCCAAACTGAGCTCACCTGAACAGCAGCAGATAAGAGACATGTCACAGCAATGACACCTCTGACCAGAGCAGAAGTGCTTCCACCCAAACATGTCAGGACATTAAACTATTTAGTTTTTTACAAAGTTGTTTTACTAGAAGAAAACACAAAGTTCCTCACATGTCACATTCATTCTGGGCAAAGTGGGTGAAGTGTCTTGCCGAAGGACACAATGGTATTCTCAGCCATCTGTCTCCCATCCAAGCACTAACCACACTCAGCCCTGCTTAGCTTCAGAGGTCAGATGAGACTGAGTTTTCTGAAGGTGGAGTATATAATCTACAGTTTTGGGAAGGTGACTTTTAAAATGTATTCCCCTACAGATTACAGATTACATACCCCAAACTGTAGTTTGTAACGTAATCCATTAAATTACTTAAAGTGAGTAACGTAATCTGAATACTTTGGATTACTTGATTTGCTGTAGAGAAACAAAGACGAGGAAATCTTCACATGAGACGATTTGTCTACTAAAAGAAAATAAAAAGCCCAGACTTTACTTAACCGTATTAAAAATGTTATTAATAGAAGATGAGGAGACATGTCCACGCAGCATGATTTAGTCCTGTTAAAGGTTGTATGGAGGATTTATTTATTTATTTTTTTGTTTCAAGTTGTCAATGATAACATTATAGAGGTGCAGTAGCCTTGTAATTATGATGACCAAAAAAAAAGAGTAAAAATTCATCAACTCTGGACGTGGTGGGGCTAAACATTTGCCAATAGATAACGACACTGCCTCGTTATCTGTGAGCTGACAGGCTGTCAATCAATCTCCCTACATTTCTAGCGTAACTGACTTGCCTGCGCGCCGCCGGTACGTGGTTTACGTACGACTGTCACGCAGTCCACAGACGCAAGACGCACAGACGCTGTTTACTCCACCAACGCAACAGTTCTTAGCGGCTTTTTTTGACCTATATCTTCCTCGCAGTTCGCACAAAGTTTGTTGCAATGGCGACAAGAATCCAGGAGCAGTTCGCCGCAAAAGAAAGTCCGTTTTTGAGGTCGCTGAAAGAAGAAGACAAGGGGAAAAGCAGCGAAGCCAAACTAAGGTGATTCTTGAAGATTCATTCCAGCGATGGTGCGACTGAAGCAGACGCAGGGTCTAAAGACTGAACCACTGGTCACCGAATTACTCCTGGACAGGAAACTTCTGCTTATTATGAAAACGTACTTTATTTCCAAGAGCTAGTCAAACGTTTTTCAGGACACGAAAGCGATATCCTATGTCTGAAAACGTAATTTTCAAGGCAAAGAAAGAGTCCGCTTGCTGCTGCGTGTTGTAGCTAGTTCATTCGCACTGAATCTCCGCGCAACCTTCTCTGCTCCCCTTTCCTGCTCCTGTCCCCGCTGCCCGTTCCGCTCTTCCCCCTGCTCCTCACTTCTTCTCCGGGCACGGAATCTCCGCGCACCGCTCCTCTCCCTCTCCTCTCTCCTCTCTCCTCTCTCCCTGCTCCGCTCTTCTCCCTGCTCCTCACTTCTTGTTCGCGCACGAAATGTCCGCACACCCGCTCCCCCCGCTCCTCACTTCTCCGTCTTGCCTAACCAACACTGTAGTTAGTTGTTTACAAGTCATGTGCAGCACCGGCTGTAAACAAACCTGT